TAGATATCGCAGCGAGCCGTGGACACGTACGCGCGCGAGCAGGCACGTACGCGCGCACACACGCATACGGCCGAATAATAGTGGCCGATAGTGTCCGGAGGCGATTGGACGTCGCCTATCGACGTCTCGATCGATATCTCGCACTTCGGGAGAAACGAACGCGATTACCTTGAAGTGGCTTTTTTTCGTCCATGTAACGTTCCATCTCGGATCGATAGAATATATAATGGCTCGGTGGCTCTGGGAGATTGACGCTAATGAGCGTGTGTGTAGGCGATTGCCCTGCTCTTTCCGATGCGCGGGTGTGTATCGCACTTCCGACTTTTGCGCTTCCTCTTAGCGCTAATTTGAGGTGCCGCATGTTAAATACATCGGCAAACAACACCCGCGCACGACGTTCGACGCCCAAATATTTGCCTGAAGAATTGTCAGCAGAATTGTCGTCTGACGCGAGATTGTCGCGTGAGAGATAGTACGCTGTTTAATTACGCTATTTTATCACGTCCTAATTTGTTCTACGTTCTTCTTAGTGATCAAAAAGACTGAAGATTGAAATGGTCTTTAAACATGTGATTCTAGTCGCTGCGCGTTTCAAGCGAACGAGAAGAAAAAAATAGAATATTGTAACGCGCGTGTAAGAGCACTTATTCTATTTACATAAGATTATTTCCAATAAGAATGTATATCGTGTGTGAGTTGCAAATCGATATCGTAAAATAATTTGACGCATCGTCCTCGCGGAAAAGAGATCCAGCCGATCGATCGATCGATCGATGGATGGATCGCAGAGATTACTTTCTATCTCTCGCATCTCTCTGGGCTATCGCTCGTCGCGCCTTTCGTGAATTCCAAACGTAAATCTCGATTGCGATCGAGAACCATGACGGTTGCCAAGTTCTACATTTCTTTACCGGGTCGCCGCGTCCGACACGCATGCATCGAAGAAGAGCGCGAAGGGAGGACAGTTAGGTCTAACTGTAACCAAGACCTACTTTTCCGACTTCCTACGTAAGATACGTACACGCACTCGCGGGTGCACACACTTGCACACACGCGCACGTGCCCACAAAGCCCTCGAGTTGCTCAACGCTCTTTTTCGTGACGTCTACGATTTGACAGACCGCTCCTTTCCCCATCACCGACCGACTCTTGTCTCCTTGAACTCTTCTCCCCATTCGCCGAGCCTCCTTTCAAATTTCCACCCTTTGGCCTTTCGCGCGAGAATCTTACATTCCTAATCTCGCGTCACACATAGTACCTCTAAATTGGAAAAAAAAATATACCTCAAATTACGAAAAAATATACCTCTTATATCTTACGCAATTCAACGACACTCATTATAACACAGAGAGATAGTTAAATTCTCTCATCGCACATGACAATGTCTTGTTTCGATTTATTCTACAGCGCGAAGAAAGTAATTTGAGGATCGAAGAGACTTTTCATATTGATTTTCGTTGCGTTTTTGGTCCCGTTCTCCGAACGTAGCTGCGGTTTTCGGAAATCAGGACGCGCGCACGGTGAAAGCGTTAGATGAGGATTGGATAACGGGTCGTCTCCAAACGGTCGGCGCACAACAGTCAGTTGCACACGCAGTGGAATTAATATATATCGACATCGAAACGTGAGGAGAGTCTCGGAAGTGCGACCCCCCCAAAAGCGGAGGGCGGTCATTGAGGGTTATCGTGAATCGATACCCATGAACTTTAGCTTCGTTTCGATTTCATAAGACTTCGATCGTCCGTTCGTGCATCTGTAGAGAAAAATAGTCCAGAAAAAGAGAAAGTAGCGAATTTTTCAAAATTATTGCGATTTTATTTTATCTTAATACCTGGGTTGCCTGGTACACTCAGAATTCTGACGAGCTTTTGCCTTGCTTTTCATAACGTAAATTGCAACAGCGAGGGGTAATAAAAAAATTACAGAGGTAGCTAACTACTTGACTGGCTTCGCTATTTACAACATAATTGCAAAAGATAGTACCTGTCGCTTTTATGCGGTATACTTATCGCATAAAACTTGGCGGTTTATATGTTGGATAGATATCATGCCAGTACGTGATAAATTAGTATTTACTGGTTACAGTGTTTAGCTCGATTGATGTTTTGCCGATTAAGTATTACACGTGCTCCATATTAAGACTGTTTATCGTTATCAAGTTAAGACGAACAAATGGCATGAGTAAATAAGTGACGTTATATTAATGATAAATCGAGTCGATTTTCACAAAATCTTGTCCCTTTGACATATGTAAAACCAGGAAATGCAATGACAGCGAAAGATAAGCAAAAAGTTTCTGGAAAAAGTACAGTTTAACAAAAAAATATTACTTACATTTCTGTGTTATTAAATCCTCCGAGAAAGAGAGAGAGAGAGCAACTGCATCTGGAAATTCGACGACGATAACCGACGAATGTTGAGAAGCTGACGATACCACTTCATCCCGATCATTAAATAATTACGAAGACTAAGATGGAAAAAAAAGACTCGCGCGACAAGTGGCGAGTCAACTGTAACTTAACTCGATCAATTCTACGGCCCTTGTATGCGATGAAGATTAGTTGATCGATTGGAATGCTCTTGACATCGCGCGCCTCGCTTTTGGAGAAACACCGAGGAATCTTTAAATACACACGCGCGTTATCGCGCTCACGCATATGTGTACGTTGCATTAGTCGGTCACGTCGAAAAGCGGGGCAGCGTTTGACGAAAGTTGCACAGTTTCTTGTTTATTCAACGCGAATGATAAAGAGGCGAAATATTTAGTTTGTCACACATGCTGACGGTATAGCCGTAGTGCCGTTATCACGCATTTCGTACTGATAAGTCCTTCCGAATTTTATTGACGTCGCGAAGCCTCGATCCGTCCGTAAATGCGTACGCTCTGTGCACGCTCATTGCAAATGTAAATTGTACAATAATGCGCGTTTTACGTCATTTCGCGAGCTGACGAAAACTTCCTCGGCGTCAATCGGCACAATTTCGGCGATTTGTTTATACTCCCAACGGCATCGGTATCACCTCATTTATCGCACTCCAGACAACGAAAGGTCTCGACGAATTTTTCCCATGAAAGATTCGTATGTCGATTATCTCTCGAAAACACGGTGCATCCGCACGATCGGCGAATCCGCGCGATCGTGGCCCTAAAACAAGCGCGTTGCACCGCGGCTCGTTGCGAACTGCTGTTTCGCACGAGCGAGCCGCAAGAGTACCCGCTGCATTCGCTGCGTCGGTGGGGAAGGCGCACACGGAAATTCACATATGCATGGCATGTGCATGTGCATGTGCACGTGCACGTGCATGTGCGTATACTGCACTCCACACCGGATCGAGATTCGCGCGTGCACGCCGACTGACTCTGCGCGTCGCCGATTGGACGGCGATCGGGGGTAGGGGGCCGGCCCAATCTACCCCCCTGCACTCTTATGCAGTCGTGAACTTGTATCACTTGCCGGCGAAGTGGTGATATGCGAATGCAACGCGACGCCGGCCTGGCCCTTTCGCGCGAGGAGTCGCGACTTGCGTTTCATCGGACGCGTTTGATCTATAAGGTGTGTAAAAACCGATCGAAAGGAATTCTTGATAAATTTTTTATTACGTTGTATCAAACGAGGGGCTATTTCTGTGATTATTATCATGTTAATTAAATAATTCGCCGATTTTATTTTTTTATAAATATATCTTTCAGCAAACTCTCACATGAATCACGCGAGATTCATATCTCTCCTCTGTTATTTTATTTCTCACGATAAATGCATTAATCTTTTAATTACCAGCTACGTAAAATCTTACGTAAAATGCTTTATAAATTCATAGAATTTCTAATTAAAATTCCGCTACCCGAGGGAGAGAAAAGGAGAGAATAAGAACTCATTCATCCAATAATCATCATCAATAATCGACTCGTTAGAAAACGAGTTAAGAATGACTTGACCTATTTTCTGACTTGAACATATAAGAGAAGCCAATTTATAATATTATGACGCAAGAACTCGCTGTCGTGTTTGATTATCGTTTGTGTAACACGTGACATTTACAGTGAGAAAATAATCGCATACCGAATTAATTTGCATCATTGCGTTACATCGACGGCCATCGATTACGCGCCCGGTGCCGCATTAATTGCAGCGCGTCAACACGTTCGATATGACGTATATACGCGAGAGTAACATTCTATCGAACGAAATAACGGTGAAATTTTTAGCTCGTCGACCGTTTGAGAATGATGTCGAAAAAGTGAAAGCCCGGAACTGTTCGGAACTATGCTCGTATGAGAGGACAAGAAATTCTTTCGTCATTTAGACTCGACCCAATGTATAAAAATGCAACGCGTATGATACCAGAGACACAATGCAATTCAACGGAGTCACGCTTCTTTTTGCGCATTTAATTGCCAAGCCTTCTGACTGCATAAGTGAGACCAAGGAGTCAAGGCTTTGAAATAGCCAGCCGAATTCTCTTTCCGATTTAACTTTTATTCGCGTCTAATAACTCCTCAAAATATTCAATGATTGTATCGATGTATAAAATAACTTTCGTTATCGAGCCATATCAAAGAGTTATTTGATGGAGAAATTCATTTATCATGTTTCACATATATCGCAAAGGGAAGGAATGACGTTTTCCCATGTAAAGGAAACTTACCCTCGCAGAACAGGGTGACATCGGTGAGACTCTCGCTTTTGAATAAATTCGAGAATGTCGTTGCTAGATTGCTGCCGAAACTGTTCCACTTGAGGCAGAACTGCTGCTGATGAGAGTCCATGATGCCACCCTTAGGCTCAACTCCGTGACCTTCACCGCCCCTCTCGCAGCTACCTTCCAATAGGTATTTACCTTCTTGATCGCGCTCGTGCCCAATTGCTCGTCCAGCTACGCAGAAAGCAGCTTTGATTATCGATCGATCTCGTTCTCTTCCTCTTGCTGAGACACACAGAATGTATATCCCGTGGATGTCATTAAAATAAAGAAATATAACTCGATTAGAAATCTAATTAGAATTATTAAATACATTTCGACAAACGTAGAGAAAGTTTGGAGAAGTTCATATTTTCATGAGTTAACTCAATAATTTTATTCGTGACATCGTAGTGTCAACTCAGTAGTATTGTACCAAAATACCAGTCTCCCTGAATGAACGCTCCACGAAAGAACATATCAGATCGCACTACGGTGCGCCAGCATCACAAGTAGCTTTGAATATTGAATGTTGATAAGAAGCGATATGAAACACCTCACAAACGCGACATACCTTTTGCGAGTCACTGGTTCCGCACGTAATATGTTTTTCGTGACGGAGAGACTATCGGACATGCGGGATACGGCGGCTGCTGTTTCGCGCGCGCGTTTTGTCGTCGCGACGAAGGGGACCCGGGGGAGGGGCAGGGACGATATTTTAGTTCTTCAGATTTCGCGATCGCAAGCGGCGTGCTTTCCGCAGCCTTATCGGCAGTCACGAACCGCGGTCGCACGATGCCGGCCGCGCCATGTCAAAATTCCGCCGCATTTCCGCGACGCCCGCGATAAAACGCAGCCGAGCGAGAAGAGGAGAGCTTACCGGTGGCAGGGGCGTGTCAAAGAATACGATCGCGAGCAGAACAGCCGTTTCGACTTCATTCACGGACCTGAACGACGTAACACCAAACAACGGCAACTGGCGATGCTACTCCGAAACGCACTTCCGTCTTTGTCTCGCGCGTCCTTTGATAACGCGCCGCCACTGTCGCGAGGCGAGGAGAAAAGGAGAATTACGAAGTTCGGCACCGCGCGCACGTGTCTTCTGCGCGGCGCATGATCCAGGTGTCCACTGTGCGAGTTGTATCACCGATCGCTCGACCGACTCTGATCGTCAACCGACCGATTGGTATCACCAAGGCTGCATGAACGTAGGCGCAAGAGTAGAATTTTCGAGTATCTCGCCGAATGTCCGGAACCAACGACGCCACCGGTCGTGCCGAGCACTGGATAGACGACTGACTATACGCACTCGCCTGCCGAAATCGAATCACCGGCTTGCATCGCGCATCGGCATATGAACGAATCGCGCGTGACTGTCGTCGTTTGCGGTGTCGCCGCCGGGCCCGGGAAGGTCCGCCGCCGCGCGGGAGCCGAAAAATTGCGGGCGCGAGCGAGAGGGAACGAGGAGGCGGCAGAGCGCGGTGGTACCGCGAGACGACAGGGGAGACGGACCGTTCGAGAGGGAGCCAGGGAGAGGGAGGGACAGAGGGGGAAGAGGACGCAACTGAGGGACCGCCGCTGTTGCTGGTATATCATCGAGAGCGTGAATATGGGTCATCGGTGGCGATGCAAATGCGGTTACACGGAATGAAGCGTGTGGGGATTTTCGGGGCTCTCTTCGGGCACCCGGTGGCGGCAAAACATTGAATTACCAGGGGAAGGGGAGAGGGACCACTGGGTGGGTGGTCAGAGGCGGGAGATCGACAATTCGGCGGCTTCTTCGAAGGGGTAGGGATCGTCGAAACGGCGAAGCGATTGCTTAAGGCTAGAAGTTTCGACTCTCGCGGTTCTCCGCAGCGCTCCCTCTCCTGTTTTTTTCTGTCCCCCCCCCTT